TCATTTCCCAGCCCTTTATTATTTTCCTTGTCCCCAGATTAATAAATGTCCTCTAAAATTCACCTGGACTTGTGTTGTGAATTTTTTCCTGCATGAGGTCAAGAACTCACACAGTGGGTCCGCCCTAGTCAGACCCTCAAAGGGCCAGAACCCCTTTTGGGTTACATAAGGAAAATCTGATGATGAAGATAGTGACAGTGATGATGGCAGCTTTTAGTGATAATCAGCACTAGAGGGATATAGACACAGCATAGTGGTAATGCACACTAACTCCAGATTCAAACTACAAAGGTTTGAATCTCAGCTTTTCTGTTAAACAGCTCAGTGAGCTCGGCCAAGTTACTTAACCAATCTGTGCCTCAGCTTCCTCATATGTAAAATGGGGACAACAACAGCATGTACTCCATAAGTTTGTTTTGAGGATTAAATAAGTTAATACATTTAGAACCCTTAGAATAGTATCTGGTACAAACCAATCACTCAATATATCAACATCTACACTAATAAAAGACAAAGATGCTAACTGACCGTACCTTCACTATGCCCATCAGCCAATCAGAAGAGTATGCAAATTAACCCAACAAAGATGGCCGTTAAATTTGCATACTGCAGGTGGGGTGGGACAACACAATCCGCCGCCTGCCCGGCCACCATCCGGGTCTGCCGTGTGCGACCTGGGGCAGTGGGATGGGGCAGCAGCCATCTGCCACCCGCCTGGCAGCCATCCGGGCCTGCCATGTGTGACCTGGGGTGGCGGGGCAGGACAGCAGCGCCATCCGCCACCTGCCCAGCCGCTATCTGGGCCTGCTGTGTGCGACCTGGGGCGGCGCGACCCACTGTGGGATCCAGGCCTGCCATTTGCGACCCAGGGAGGCAGGGCAGGCACCGCAGAATCGGGCCTGCCATCTGCCACCTGGGGAGTGGGCCTAATCCAGCAGGTGGTTATCTCCTGAGGGGTCCCAGACTGTAAGAGGGCACAGGTCGGGCTGAGGGACACATTACCCGCACCACCACCCCGCCATTGCACAAATTTTTGTGCACTGGGCCTCTAGTTACTATTTTAAGTAACAAAAGGCTCAGGTGTTGCAGTCAGACAGATAGGTTTGATTCACACTTCCAGAGTCCAAGTTTCTTCCTCTATGTTACTTCTATCCAAATTCCATCTTATTCATTAAAAAAGACTCCAGTACATAGCATAAAGAAACCAATGCAAATAAAAACCTGTGCAGAGGAGTTACTTCCTACCAAGGGGCAAACAGTAAAGGTGAGGGTATCAGAAAGACTTCAGAAAGGATGAATATGTTTCCCTAGGCAGAGAAAGGATTGTGAGAGTAGTGATGATTGAGTGAACAGTGGGGAAAGGCACAGAAGTAGTAAAACACAGAGTACAATTGGGTTGGGAAATAACAGCCCAATGTGGCTTGAGTGCAGGCAAAGTGGAGCAGGGTTTGGATTAGGGGAAGGCACCTGAGAGTGAGGGCCTCCTCAAACTGTGTCCTTACCTTATTCTAGTCCTGACTCTGACTTGGAAGAAAGTGTTGGGAGATGGAGATGGAAAGGTGGAATTGTATGGAAAGGTGAGGGCCTTGAAACCCTTCATAGAGAACCTGGTAGTATTTTATAAATGAGATCCCATTGAAGGTTGCTCTTTTGAAACTGGGGAAAGTGTCAGTGGGTGCTGAGTCCAGCTGTGCTATAAGAAAATACCTTTCTTTCATTTATGATTGGAGAGATGGCAAATCCACTCTAATTTTGTCTCCAGATGGGTCAACTGACTTTTTTTAAAAAATCCTCACCCAGGGATATGTTTTTCATTGATTCTACAGAGAGACAAAGAATGAAGGAGAAAGAGAGAGAGACAGCAAAATGAGAGAAAAACATCGATCAGTTGCCTCACATAAGTGCCACAACCAGGGACTGAACCCAGAACCTAGGTATGTGCCCTGACCAGAATCGAACCTGTGACCTTTCGGTATACAGGACAACACTCTAACCAATGCGCAATATCGGCCAGGGCTCAAATGACATTTGAACAGACCCTTATTATTTTAGTACATGAGATCCAAGTAATATTTATCCAGGAAGGGAGCAGAAACAAAAGGGTCATGTGAGTGGTGAGCTTTTTACTTTAACTATACCCCAGAAAAAAAGGAGTGATCAGAATATAATCATCTTCATTCTTGGACACACACACACACACACACACACACACACACACACCTTACCCTGCCCTTTGGCTGAGACTAAAAAATTCCACAGGTGTGAATTGCTTAAGTATCTGCTTCCCATGAAAGTGGGACTAAGAGGTATCCAGCAAGACCACAATGTGAAGCTCCCAAAAATTTAAGCGCATGACCCCAACAGGAATTCTAGGCTGAGAGAGTTCTGATAAGAAAAAAAAATTATACAGAACTTTAAAAATCATCTAAGTGCAGGCATGTGTCACAAAAACATATGCTGCCCCCCCCCCATAATATACTGCTGGGCTCTGCCTCCTTCATTTTAACTGATTTATGTATGATGCATAGAATCAGAGGTAGGTTTACAGATATTAATCCAGCGGTGGCTGCTAAGAGAATGACATCAATTCTTTGGCACCAACTACCTGGAGTTAGCATTAGACTCCACAGATTTAAGGCAGTCCTTAATACTGCCCCCATTTCAGGTAAGATGCCAGTTACAAGTCTTGGGGACAATAACCCATGCTTCTGATTCAGGAGTTCCCATGACCCTCTCAGGTTTGATAATTTACAAAAAAAACAAATTACTAAAAGTACCATATTTCACATTATAGTTTTATTATAAAGGCTACACACAGGACAAGGTCTGGAAGGATCTTAGACACATAGCTTCCATGCCCTCTTCCCATAGGTTCAGGGCAAATCACCCTCCCTGGATATCACTGTGTTTACCAACCAGGAAGCTCCACAAAGCCCTGAGTTTTCATTGGGGATTCTTTATATATGCATGATTAAATCAATGGCCACCCGATTGAGCCCCAAATCCAGCCCTCCTTCCCTCTGTGGTCTAAGGTTCTAACTCTAATCATGTGGTTGCTCCTAATAGGTGACCAGCCCACATCCTAAAGCTATCTAAGGGCCCACCATAAGTCAGTTCATTGGCAAAACAAAGACACGCCTATCATTCAAGAATTCCCTAAGGTTTTTTGAGGGTCTGTGCTAGCAACCAGGGACCAAGTTTAGATATATTCTTTCCATACCACACTATGTTTGAGGTAGTCTCTTTTGTCAAACTCTATAACCACACACACATAGACCAGAGACAACAGAGCTTAAGCCGAAAGACCGTAATCTGAAAATTGGCCCCAATACTTATCTTACTATATTGCTGGAGAGTGGAGGAAAGAGAATAACAAAGGAGGCAGGGATAAGAGAGGAGGAGTCAATCCTAGGCCTCAATCTCTGTAATTTTACCCCACAAGCCCACTGCTCAATCCTAGCTTTTAAATGTAAACATGGGGGCCTGAAGTAGTATTACAGCACAGTTTCAACTCTATACTGAGAATAAAAATAAGGATATGAGTAGCCTTAGGGAAATTAATTATTTCCTAGTGACATGTTCCTAAACTGCCTTGGTATGTAGCCTAGGGGCACCAGGGGTCCCCATGACCCCCTCAGATTTGGTAATATTCTGTTAGAAAGAAGACAGAACTTATCAAGGGCTGCTACCTAGGATGAGACCAAAGGAACAAGTCCTAAAAACTGGGCAGAGAGCAAAACACATGGAAGAGAGCAAATGATCTGTAGAGGGGAACCTACGGGACCATCCACAAAGCAGTTTCTGCAACTGTTTCCCAGAAAGATCGTACTCTGAAGCCCAGGACTAAAAAGAAAGGGAACCTCAAATGGAATAGCCACTTTCGTATTCCCAGATGGGAGGGAGATGCTGCCCAGGGCTGAGATCCAGATATTCTCTTGGGAGTTTAAAGCTTGGCAGTATCCCAAAGAGAAATTCTCTGCCAATGGTCTCAGCATCTAGGTTCCCTCCTCCTGAATCTGTCTCCAAACCCCCTTCTCTAGAGTTGTTCACATTGGGATTCCTCCAGGGAGCTGGAGCCTTGGAGCATAAGGCAGATATATTCCCCACCCCCTTCTTCTCTCCCACCCTCTCTCAATTCTGAGCTGGTCTCAGCAATCCCCATCCTCTGGAAAAGACAAAAAATAGAGTGAGTGGCAAATAGGATTGAGGACAGCGGTGTAGCTCAGGGTTCCTATCCTCACACCTGCTTTTCCAGAGCCAGGACTACTGGTTTATATGAGTTGCATGTTCATGAAATGTCACTTCACGGTTTCCAAACTCTAGGCTCCCCTTAGCTAACTCCCTCCATGTGCCCACCTCCCTCACCCACACATAGAAACACAGAATCAACACTGGGAAGGGAGCCTGGGGGTAAGGAGACAGGTGTTCAGAAGGCAGGAGGGTCTCAGGCACTTCCTCTACCAGGATGTAGTCCAGTGGTTCCCAACCTTTTTTTGGCCATGCCCCACCTAAGCATCTCTAAAATCCTGATGCCACCCCCCACCCATGACATAATTCTTATTATACAAAAAGTGAACTCCTATTCTCATGGAGGAAGCCTAAAAGGCCATTAACTTGGTCTAAACAAGCTTCCAAAGAACATGGCATCCATGAAAAAGAAAAAGAACGAAAGGATAGTTGAAGTACTGAGGAAGAAATCACTATGAAATTGTTTAAAAAATAATAATATGAAGTGATATAAAAATAGCAAATAAAGTTTCAAAACATATAATAGAGAACTGAAATGCATAAATATGGCACAATACATATTTATATACTGTATATGAGGCCCCTAGAACCATAAGAAATGCAAAAAAAATCACTGTTAAAAACTCATTCTCAAATTGCCCCCCTTAAAAATTAAATTGCCCCCCTGTGGGGCATGTGCCCCACGCTGGGATCCACTGATCTAGTCTCAGCCACCACCTCCTGCAGATGCCATTTCCCGGTCTCGCACCCACCTTCTGCGTTCCTATCTCCTCTGCAAGCGACCACCGCTTCTCTCCACTGTGCCTCCCATGGGATGACTTCCTGCCTCTTGAGCTCCTGGACAAAAGACAGACCCAGCAAAGACGCTCGCAATTGCCCGCGGGGCTGTTTCCTCTAGCAGCAAATACTGTAATTCTGGTCTTCCGCGACTAGGTTTCAGGCTAGTGCGGCACGGAGAGACAACCACCCACCCACCCACCATAACATCCTACCAGTCCCCCGGCAGCAGTCTGTCAATCCTCAGGTGTATAAGCTTCCTGACTCTTTTCGGTAGGAGGTAGGATACACCTCTAGGCCTGCCCAAAGGCGAGCGCGGTCACATGATCCACCGTCAGCCCATGTGACCACGCAGTCCCTGTCTGCTGGGGCCCCCTGCAGTACAGGAAAGCACAAGCTTCTGCCTCTGGGATTGAGCTGCTGGCTATGGAACCTGAAGCTCCTGAGGACGGTGAAGATAGCTAGAGGAAGGCTGGATTTGGAGCCAAAGCTTCAAGCCCGAGGCCTAGTTCTTGTTCTATGGGAGCCCAGGGAAGGCGAGGAACACTGGATGAGGAGTTTAGAGACGAAGTGACTTAGCTTATTGTTTCTAAAATTCAGGGTGACATGTGAAAACACACACAAGATCTGTCTTAAAAAGTATTGCAAGGCAAAAGAAACATTCAAAGTCCAATTTCCACCATCAGGATGATCCCTTTTAACACTTATGGTTTGTGAAGGAAGGCAAAACTGCCCTCTTGCCCTATTTCCATAAACCAGTGATTTTCAACCAGTGTGCTGCAAGAATTTTTAAAACATGCAATAGCTGACTTTTTAGTGAGGGGCACTGACCTCTTTCCCTTAGATTGTCAAATAAAAAAATTACATCAGCCAACACAACAATAGCTGTCCTGTGTGAATGAATCACAATTATAACTGTTTGTTGTTGTTTTTTGTCAAACTGGCAAAAAATAGGGTTTTTTGGTGTGCCACAAACTTTTAGTGATTAGTTTATGTGTGCTGTGAGATGAAGTTTGAAAATTGCTCCCATAAATCTTGCATATTAGAAGGGGGGAGCACGTTGCACTGTCAGAAAAATTATACAAAACTTGTGTAAAGAAAACATCGGTTACTGGACATCATTTCAGTGCAGGGCTGAGCTTCACTTTCTATTGATTGAACAAGTTTTAAATTCTATGAGGCTGATTCTAACTTGTAGATATTTTGTCTGACATGGAAATGATTTCTGTTTAGAGGAACCGATAACCTAAATGTCCAAAATTTATTGCCCTTATGATATTAACCAGTTTTGTATTTAACCCAGCAATGATATCCTAGCATTTATTGTCTATGTATGTATGAAATTTAACATACTACATTTTGTTTTTATTATATTGAATACACTTACCTCCTTCAACAATTTTCATAATCTTAGCAGTTCTTGTGCTGAAAAATATTTCATGATCATTTTCAATTTGAGTCATAATTTAACCTTTTCAAAAATTAACAGCATCCCAAGACAGAACAAAAATAACATTTCCACAATGTCTAAAAATAATAAAGTGTATTTCTCACAAGTCTGGATTCCGTCTCCAAACCATTTCTATTCCTGACTTCTGCAATTTCTATCTGAAAGTGAGAAGGCTAATCCCCATTTTGTAAAACTACTGTTTGGAATTCTCTGCTATTCTTTAGACGGCCTCTTATTCTAAAAAATAACTTTGCTTTCTAGCCTGCGTTAGCCTGCTTGAATAATGAGGAAGATAAACTTAGCTGTCTGACCTTGTAGGCCAGAGGCTAGATACGCCCATACTCTCAATGCCATGCCAGGTGTATTTTTTAATTGGATAGAACTGTGTAGTTTTCAAGGCCACCAGCGAGATAACCACTAAGCACACATAGGGCTGGCTCTTTAATAAAAAGGGAAGTTCTGCTTGTAGCTCTGCTTAGAATTTGAATTCATTTTCTCTAAGCCCACCGAGGTGAATAAAGTGTGACTCCAAACTCTCTGAGCATTGCTTGATTTATTCCAGTTCTCTGTAACAAAAGTATGGCATAATCTTCTTAGTTATTGTTGTAGAAAATACACATAAAATAAAACCTATCATTTTTTTGTTGCTTATTTTTTAAATTTTTTTCTTTATTGATTAAGGTATTACATCTGTGTCCTTATTCCCTCAATGCCCCTCCACCCCCTCACTCATAAAAAAAAAATCTATCACTTTTAAGTGAACAATTCAGTGGCATTAGGTACATTCACAATTGTTACTCCAAAAGGAAATGTTATCTTTTGAATGTAATAGTCATGTAAAAATGGTGCCATCTTTGTACAGTCAAGAGACTAATATAAACTTAGCAACCTTGATCATTTATTTTTCTTTAAAGCATTTCATTTAAAAAGCTAGTTTTTCTAAGTCTCATGGGAGTCCACTTTTCTTTCAAACTTTTCTAAGTGATTTTATCTCTAAAAATTCCTTCTAACAGAAATAGTTTATTTATTTATATAACTACTAGTGGCCCATTGCATGAATTTGTGCACAGTGAAAGGAAATTAATTAGAAGAAATATTTTAATATCGCTATTCACCCTTTCTCTATAATAGAAGTATCAACCAAATTCATGATCAACAATGACAGATCAAAACACAAGCATATGAATGGCACCAGCAAGAGCTTTATATGTATCACGCACGCACAAGTCAACTTAGCCTTTTATATACATAAAATAAACTTTCTTAATTAGACCTTCTTTTTGATTTACCTAAACTTTTTCCAGCCCAGTGAAGCACCCTAACTTCTCTTTCAGCAGTGTTGAGATTGTCAGCAACACAGCAGTAAATATCAACATGAAGCAGATTATTATTGTAGATCACACAGGGAGAACAAAGAGTAAAATATTTAACTGCAGCAGTGTTTGACTATATTCTGCACAGTGAGAAAACCTGAAGTCATTTTCAAGGTCTACCATTTCTTACTTCTTTTCAGTCAGGTCAAGTTTCTAAGCTTTCTAAATCTCCATTTTCTGGCTAATGAAAAGAAAATAGGATTCCACCGAGTCTCCTATCTACCTACTCCAGGACTTCTGTGAGGATCAAATGAGATGAGGCATGGGAAAATGCTTCACAGACATTTGGTTAAAGTGTAAAATGGCCCTAACTGATTTGGCTCAGTGAATAGAGCATTAGCCTGCAGACTCAAGGGTCCCAGGTTTGATTCCAGTCAAGAGCATGTACCTTGGTTTCAGGCACATCCCCAGTAGGGAGTGTGCAGGAGGCAGCTGATTGATGTTTCTCTCTCATGGATGTTTTTAACTCTCTATCCTTCTCCCTTCCTCTCTGTAAAAATCAATAAAACATATTAAAATAAAAATAAAAATAAAAGTGTAAAATGTTTCCACCTGTGTTCCTAGGCTGAAGAAACTCCAAGGAGGCTAGTTGCTAGGGAGAAGCCAGGTGTTGCTATGTGACATCATCACCAGGAGCCCACAGCAACTGGGTCACATTTGTGCCATGGGGTCTTGGCAGCATTGGCTGCAATTTGGTGAGGTGTCGTTCCAGGGTGGTGGTGGGGTCTGTGTCCCACTTGGGGGAAGCCGAGTGTTAGTGTGTCCACACCAGGTCCATGGTGCTGTCCAGTGAGTGTCATGGCAGCTCCTGCATTGAGCGTCTGTCCTCTGGTGGTCAGTGCACATCATAGTGACCTGTCGGACCATAGGAGTGACACTTATTAGCATATTAGCCTTTTATATATATAGATATGTTCCAACATGTCTACCTATAACTTGAGGCATTAGAAGCATATTAAACGGGAAAAAAAAAGCCCTGTGCTACTAATTTTTCTATCTCCCTGATGTCTGTCTTTAAAATATTTTTTACTATGGTAGATTTTATTTGACTATGGAATATATGATGTTTCTTAAAAAGTCATATTGAAATTTCAAAGTTGTTTATTCACACACAAGTTTTTAAAATGAGATCTAGCCCTAGCTGGTTTGGCTCAGTGGATAGAGCTTCAGCCTGGGGACTGAAGAGTCCCAGGTTTGATTCCTGGTCAAGGGCACATGCCTGGGTTGCAGGCTTGATCCCCAGTAGGGGGCAGTAGGAGGCAGCCGATCAATGATTCTCTCTCATCATTGAGATTTCTCTTTCTCCCTCTTCCTTCTCTTTAAAATCAATAAAAATATATTTTTAAAAAATGAGATCTAGTATTCCATGGATCAGCAGTCGCCAACTGGTGGTCTGTGAGAAAATTTTGGTGGTCCATAGAAAAATTTGGACATTATTTGCATTTTTATGTTTCAGTAATCCTAATAAATAATAATAAAACAAAAAATATTCTAAGAAATTCTTATATTCTGACTGAATGACAATTTTCGCCTTTACATTGCACTAAATTGTACTAGAGTCTAGTACATTTCATGAATTCCCCTTTCTAGTATATAGAGAGGAGGAAACGAGAGGTGCAAGTGGCTTCAGTATTGTTTTGGCCATTATAGCAGTCACCCGCTCCGTGATTAGCGATTCTCATCCAATTGTTTTATTTGTGTACTGTAGGTAACTGTGTATTTCCTTTAACTGTTATATATAATGGCACAAATAGTTTGACTTTAATAACTATCATTTCTTGTTTGGTTTTAGATTCGAATGAAATAAACCCATAATGAGTAAAAAAGAAAGCAAAGGAATATTTTGCATTTCTTTAGTAATACAAAAGATAATGTAACTAATGATAATAGTAACAATAGTAATATATGTACTTCACTTAACCGTGAGCTGATCAATGAATCAGAGTCTCCACAGTCCTTGTCAGGCACCATTTGGAAGAACATTTGAGCTGCAGGTGGAGAGAAGAAAACACTGACACTGAAAGTATTAAGAAAATATGATTCGAACTACTTGAAATTTGGATTTGTTCAAGAACCTGGTAGTGAGCTGGATCCACGGCCGCTTTGTGTTGTGTGTTCTGAGAGTTTATCCAATGATGCCATGAAACCTTCAAAACTCGAAAGACACTTGCAATCAAAACACCCAGATTTAGCTAAAAAAACACTTGAATATTTTCAAAGAATGCATGAAAATGTGCAAAAGCAAGTACTTGCTCTAACAAAAATGACTGCTGGAGATAAATCCTTATCAAAGGCTTCTTATCTGATAGCACTTCAGATCTCAAAAAATAAAAAGCCGTATACGATTGGAGAAGAATTAATTAAGCTTTGCATGTTCCAAGCCTGTGAAGAGGTTTTGGGAAAGCAGGCTGCCCAGAAACTAAAAGCAATTCCTATGTCCGCTAACACTGTCAAACACAGAATCAAAGAC